ATCCTTTTTAACTTGTTTTCTTTTTAATATCAGAGACGTATAACTCTCTTTTATAATTACTTAATTTAAAACTTTGGACTGCCTGCAAGAGTCACTGACCACATCTGAGCCACGAGGAATGTATTTGCGAAGTCGTTATTGACACAGTGATTGCTATTTTTATGATTAATAAATTTTTAATGTTATATAGCGTTTAATTCTTACTTCAAATATTTCTGTAAATTATGTACATATCTTTTTAAAGTTCAATAAAATTATTATAATTTTATTATTATTATCATAATGATTATGTTTTTTATTTTTTATTTTTTTTTAATTTAGACCTCCAAAAAGGCGAGTGTTTCAATATATAGAAGAGGATATGAAAATCACCAAGTCAACCTGATGGAGTTGTAAGGTAAAGTTCTTTTATATATTTGAGTGTCGGTGTATTTAGCACGAAGGTACTACCTTATTATCACTTATTTTCGTGAGACTTAATTTTCGCGATTTAAAAAATTTCGCAAAATTAAAGTACCGCGAAAAAAAGGTGCCTCGAAAATTAAAGACGCGAAATTTGGTGACCTTTATAAAAACCTTCATTTAAGTTTTCTGTCCGCTAGGAGTACGTAGCTAAAACTATAGGCCCCAAAACGTTACGAAAATGTAACGCCTTGCAAAATATTTCTCCGCCTGTTTCCTAGACGCAAATCCTTAGGTGTTTTTTGTTCGATGTAAGGGCCTGTTTACATGGCGGTGGGGGATCCCAGATAGGTGAAGTAACCCGCTTAAGTGGGGTAAAAACACAACCCTCCTTTACATGCAATCTTACAACCCCGCCATCCCGGGTTGCACTTTCTCAAGATTATTGAATGGTCGCTAAGGACGTAAACAAGAAAAATGCTGGAAAACCACGTGTTTTGGCGATTAATGCTCTTCCACACTCACTTGCTGCTCTTGCTGCAACCTTCAGGGCTGTGGCTTTCTATTGTTACCTTTAAATAATGATGCAAAGCCACCGCCAAAGTGATTTATGCGCAAATTGGGTGTATCATGAAACTGACCCCGGCTAGGCGGATTACCCCATCTTGAAACGTTTACATGGCAAAATTTGACCCCGGCTGAGAGGGTAACCCGGTCTGGCAGACCGGGCTACCCGCCTTGGCGAGTCACCCTACCTATCATGTAAATGTGATCAAATTAAACCGAGAGATTATATTGATAGGCAGGTTACACCACCTAAGCGGCTTACCTCACCAACTAGGGGTCCCACACCTCCATGTAAACAGGCCCTAGAATTCAGTTCGTTTTTAGTTATATATATACGGGCACTCTTATTTGTATTGTAAAACTCCCTAATGAAGTGTGCGCTATTCACACGAAACGCGTAGGAGACAATAAAACAATTTTACAACTCAAGAAGTTAACAGAAGTGCTGCTCACTGGCTTATCCTTTTAAAAATATTACCTACAATTACTTGACAGGCAGTGTGGGAAAGCGGCACATTCACCAGGCAAAAGGATGGAGCAAAGCGAGAATATATATCCTAACTTGTTCAACGGAAGACAACTTTATCGTCTGAAGATCCATCTCAAAGCATAGAGGACATCCTTATCTAAAAGCTAATTAGCAGAGCCATCGAGTTTAATAGTGCCTCGGTTGCTTATATCAGTGTGCTTTTAAAAGATGTCATGTTGCTGACATTGTTGAACATTTTAACCAGTTGCTTGTTGCGTTTCTATCCCGTTATGGCTAAATAAAATGCAGAAATGGAAGTTTAAAAAACGAGCACCAGCGGACTTGATTCGCGAAATTTAATTACCTTGAAAACCGGTGATTCTTCAAAATCGCGAAATTTAAGTCCCGTAAAATATTTCTATTCCAAATTCGGGAAATAAAAGTCGCGCGACAATAAGTGATAAACGGTAATTGAGGACACTATTTTACGTCTCCTTCTGCAGACGGGACCACCATTTTACGTAGTCATTCGGGGGTACACGAAAGTCTAGCCGTTTGTAGAGCAAGGGTAGCCTGTTCACAGACCCTCTATTTTCTCTTCAAAGTCCTTCGAGCGCAGGTGATAGAATATAAACTGCAGGGGTTTATTGACCGCCAACGCAAGGCTCCGCGCTCATTCTCGAGCGCTTGCTTCGCTCGCCGATGTTTTCGAAAAGAACGAAAAGAATTATAAAACAACGTCTCTTTACAGGCTAGAGCAAGGGAAGTACCTTCATTTTTCAGATATTTTAAGACCCTGAGTATTGGTCCGACCCAGGGAATTGAGCCCACGACTTCCCGCTCTGTGCTCTACAAACGGAGCTAACGCTGCGACGGTTAAACACACAACAACGACGGAGACGACCGGCTGAGCCGAATTTATGACTGGTCTTGCCACAGAGAATTTAGTAATCTTATGTTGTTTTCAGTGTAGAGGCAAGAGAGTCGTAAGGGGTTGCGATTCTCATACCCAGATTCTACGGTCTCCGCAAGGAACGCTTGGAACAATGACACCCCATTTGGCAACCGAATACGGAAAGAAAAAAAAATGGCTTGCATCTCGTTTCCTAGGAAAGTTCGACTAAAGACCAGAAAGATAATGTTGTAATGATAACGGACATTCTGGTAATTTTTGGTTTCAGGTAAACCGTGCGCGTTGCAGGCCCGTAGCCTGGGTTTTTTTACGGAATTACGGGGAGATGCAGTCCAAGGAGGAGGCGGACCGAACGAGACCGGAGGAGCAAATCTCTAGGGGGAAGGAGGGGGGAACTAGGTTGTCTGGTACTGTGTTACGAACGTTTTGAAAAACATCAATATTTTGGCAAAGAGACAACTTTGTCGTTATGTTAGACGGTGTATGTGCATAAGAGCCATTAAAGAGAGCTTTTCTTGTGTCGCTAGTATTACTTTTTTGCCACAGAAAACAGCAGATATTTTAAACCATGCTCAAAGAAAAAGGGCTAACTCAAAAAACGAACAATGCATATCTTCATCGCCTTTAAGCACAAGTGGATCCGAGATCCACCCTTCATAATTGGCTGTTTAACAGGCAATTCGAAAACGAGAATTCTCAATCCCCGAAACGGCCCGATAAATGCGTCCAGTCAGAAACAGTTGTACCGCTCTCGCCAAACAAAGTTAAAAGTAATGTTTGTCCCTGGCTAGCAACTGTCANGTATGTGCATAAGAGCCATTAAAGAGAGCTTTTCTTGTGTCGCTAGTATTACTTTTTTGCCACAGAAAACAGCAGATATTTTAAACCATGCTCAAAGAAAAAGGGCTAACTCAAAAAACGAACAATGCATATCTTCATCGCCTTTAAGCACAAGTGGATCCGAGATCCACCCTTCATAATTGGCTGTTTAACAGGCAATTCGAAAACGAGAATTCTCAATCCCCGAAACGGCCCGATAAATGCGTCCAGTCAGAAACAGTTGTACCGCTCTCGCCAAACAAAGTTAAAAGTAATGTTTGTCCCTGGCTAGCAACTGTCACGGCTGAATAACTCAGAGGTACCCAACGACTGTTTTCTGTAAAATATCTGTTCTGAGAAGCAAATATTGCCTAGAATTTCCTATTGCTTGAGGCACGGATATAAATTTCTAGATGCACGTTCCATCCATATACAATTTTCGAAACTTATCTATTAAATTCCCTACGATTTTCTGAAGCTTAATTTTTCACATTTCACTCTCCGAGTAATGCGGTTTTTCGTAGAAAAAGAAAAACCTAAAATTTTCGGATTCAATAATGTGATTGAAGTAGGAATCAGAAAAATTCTCACATTCGTAAAGCGATAAATTGCGTCCAAAATTTTAGGGAATATAATACTGAAGCCCTTGAAAGTTCCCTACCGCTTAGAATGTATTTCTAGAGGTCTAAACTAATTTGGAAAGCCTAAAAAGTGTTTTCAACGTATTTAGGAGGAAATCGTCGTTGGGTGCCCCTGATAACGGCCAAGTGAAGGAATAATAACATTATCGGCTCCAGTCTTAAGATTCGCATTATTGTAATTTACATGAAAGTGCTTGGAGTTGATCGTTCGGCATGCAACACTACCAGAGTAGGGTTAAGCTTTAATAGGAACTTCAATATTCTGCAAGTAAGGGAACGTAATAGCGGCGTCCAGCATGTCAAAACTATAGCAGGGAATCTCATACCCTGTCAAACGGTTAAAATAACAATTCAGATCCAACACTTTGCAGAAAACTATGGGACAAAACCCTAAAGGTTGTTGGGCCGCTTTTAAAAATAAGCAAAGAAAATTTAACACCTACAGCTAGCGATCAGAGGTCAATTTCTGATAGAGCAAAGATAAGAATCTACAGGAAATCGCTGTACATCAACAGACCACATGACCTCTCAGTAGCCTCTCAGTGAAAGAAAACTTTGCTAAATGCACACTACGAACCCTCCAAAACAGACTTTACCAGTTAAGGACAAAATGAAGGAGCAAGTGACGTATTAGAAAGGGGTAAGTTTCTTGTAGGTATACCAAATAGACCTATTCGGCTAACTCAATGTTGTACCCAATTCAAACCCTTTGGGAATAAAACATTTTGTTTCAGGAATTTTCATATCATTTAAATGCGAATGCCACATAATAATGCAAATACAATACACAAAGAATCTTATCCCCGGGGGATTTGAATTGGGTACAACATTGAGTTAGCCGAATAGGTCTATTCCCTTTTTTATATTTAGTTTACGAAGGCTAAAACACGTTTTGTGGAAAGGGTGAGTCAGGCTTATGAGCTCTTTCACAGTATTTTCAATTTTACTACAGTACACAATCAGTGAATTAGAATAGAACAATACTCGAAATCCGCTTTGTTTTAATCTTTGATCAACAAAAAAGGGACCTCTGGAACCTGTAGGGGGGGTGCGTGCGCACTCGTCGAACCCCCCTCCCTACGGGCGTGTGTTGATACGTCCTGAACAAGCATGAAGAAAGTATCGGCAATTTTGGAGTCAATTTGTGGAGGCATAAATCTGGTCTCAGAGAGTTTATTGTTTATATATGCTAGCAATATAAACCACCTGCAACATTTAAGTATACAGAGTCAAAAACCTCTGCGTCGAAAACGTATTGTGGGGAAACACGACAGCCGAAAAATCTCTCATCATCTTTTTTTATGGACATGAGTGTGAAGATGGCGTGACCGGTTGACGTGTTGCCGTCATAGCTTCCGCTTACTCGCCCATTATATTGTACGGGAACTGGAACAGACATTGGGCTTCCTGATTCACCAAAAGCTACTAGTATTCCATTGGGAATAAAATCGCGTGCTCGGTGATCTTTGATAAGCCCAAACAGAACTTCCCGAACACCTTTTGTACCATTGGAGAAACTCCAGGAAAAATTTACTGAAGATCCAATTAATCCTGTAGCAGAATTTCCTTTATAACCTGATATCAGATGTATATCACTCATCACTGCAAGAATGAATATAAATCATGGGTTATAAAAAAAAGTTGCATATCAGTAAACTTCGGAGAAAGGTGCAGGTATTGACACCAGCAGACATAACATATCTATAGCTATTTTCTATTCTGCTTTCTATTCTAGCAGGTTTTTACCAGTATTGAAGAGGATTCTCTATAGATCAGAGTTCAGTGTCTCAAATTAGTACTGGATGAAGAGAATTTGAGTAAAAGCTTCGAAGTTTCTCAAGAGAATAGCAAGGTATCTAAAAGTTTCACATATGGGTTTGGTTTAAAGGGCCGCGTTTTTCATTACGTATTCTAGCGCTTTAGAGACCCTAGAGATTAAAAAACGCATATGGATCAATCTGGCTGAACACAGTGTGATAGGTTGTAGATGATTACCATTCACTGGGGTGTTATTTAAGACTAATGGCAGGTATAAAAGCTCAAATTTGATTCTAAGATATTGTCGCTTGTTTCCATTGCTTACGTAAGTCAGCAAAACAAGCGCTCTCAAGTTGCTCTCTATGTACGCATGCTCAACTCTTGCGCGCGCACTGAAATCACATGATATGTCAAAGAGGAAGAAAACAAGATAAAAATCTCCTGACAACCAATCAATGTATGATTTGTATAATTTGTGATAGTGACAAATCCACTTTTTAAATAGAAAAAAGAGACATCTGTTCACTCGTGTATTTTGGCTGTTTTGGCAGCGAAATAACAAATTCTCTTGCATTTTCTGTTATTTTCTTTGGAGCGTTTTTCATTATGGTGTCGATCCCACTAGCGAGAAAGGTTTATAACAATTTATTATTTCCGAGGCCCTATATCTGCCGTACATTTCAAATTAAGCAACATGTTCGTCCTAAGTACAAAGCGACAGCGACATTTTTTCGTAACCTACCAGGCAACAGGCAGTCTCAGAAATGACCCACAAAGGGACAACATACCCCAAACCCCCTCTCC